TATTTAACTCTGGGCTTGGATTATATATTTATATTAGCATATTGCTCACTGCTGTGTAAACTTGAAAAAGTAGTAAATGTTTGATTTCCATAACCATGAGCAATTGTCAAAGTCTCTGTTCTACATGTAAAATTTTTACTTGGATCTGAAATACAAAAATTCTAGCTTACAAATGACCTTATACAAGATTTCTTTGTATGCTTAAATTTTCTACAGCTTCTGAAAAATATCTTGATTAGTCACCTGCTTCCATTTCCCTTGTTACATTTCTGGAAACTGTAATTTAGCACCATTTTGAGGGTTGCATGCTGCTCTCCTACAGATTCATATGAAGTTGAAGGACTCTCTCTTCCTTGAGCTGCATTACATATTTATAGAAGAAAAATAAAGTGGAATTTGAGCTTCTATTTATAAGTGCAGTGGCAGACTACCTACCTACAGAAAATATCCCCACAATCCTAGCATTAGCAATTGATAGCATTAAGCCTGTTGGAAATAAATTGCCCCTTGAATACTGATGCTAGCAAAATTGGTACAATTTGTAGATTGATAAACTACCCATTTTATTAAAGTTTATCTTGCCCTTACCCACCTCTCAATATACGGATTAGACTTTTAGAGATATTTAGTATTACTAAGGATCAGGTGGTGGCATTAGTTTTAAACGGTTCCTCTTTATTTGATAGCTAAATGGCAACAACCCCAGACTGTCTTCGAGCAGGGCATCCTAGTTCTCTGACGATCGTGGAGAACTACCTAACTCCACAATGTGAGCAGCACTCACAGCTCTCTAATGAAAAGATTTGCAGCCACTCCTTTATTCCTAGTACAGAGATCTCTTCAGGTCCCCAATACAAGGGGCCATCGGTCAATATTTGCACATCCATAGCACTGCAAAATCCAGCAGCACGTTCAGTTAATTCAAAAATATAACTTGTTTGGCTTTAATGTTAGTTATTATAGCAAAATAGTACTGCAGCATGCATAAGATGGTTCTTAAACACATTAAGACAGATGTTCAGCTAGTGTGCACCAGCCTAGCATCATACATTTTACTATGGAGGTATATCATTGTACACAAACTGTTCATTACACTAATTTCAGTTATTTATATGTTTATATTCACAACCATCTATATATCATCAATTCTATTTGTAGGGGAGGCTGAGAATAATAAAGGTTTCAAACCCCTGTAAGCACATGAGAAGAATACCAGTTACTGAACCTCTCCTTTATTGAGATGAATATATATATTCCCCTACAATTTTAAATTTGTTGTGGAATTCACCATTAATAAAAAAGGGAAAATGGGCACAAATATGCATACATTCATGGATATAATGTTATAAATATGTTACAAAATGTGCTTGCTTGTATATGTGGCATAATTGTGTGCATAAAGGCATCTGTTAAAAGAAACACACAAAATGCATACATATTTTATGCATATTTTTAAAAATGCTTTAAGATAAGTATGAACTAAAACTAAGAAAATAAGAGAAACTGAAGTGAAACAATTTGTCCATGCCTAGGAGTCTGGCATGCCTATACTCTCATTCCTGCTGGCTCTTTTTTAAAAAATGACTTTATGACATTACCATATTGCATTTCTGGTGTTGCTCAGCTTGGGTATTTTGTTGCATCAAGAAACAGAAGAATCTGCTTTATATTGAATCAAAGCAGAGGTCCATCTAGCTCAGCACTGTTGCCACTGACTGGAAGAAGCTGCCCAGCATTTCAGAGAGGAGTTTTTCCCAGTCCTGCTTGGAAAGGGTGAAATTGAATCTAGGAGCTTTTGCATGCAAAGCATATGCCAGGGCTGCTATGCCACGTGTGCCGCATGCAGCCCTCAGCCATCCCAAGAGAGCATTTCCCTGGGGGAAGCCTGGAATTTCCTTTACTAGGGCAAACAATAACAGGCGAAGCTCTTTTCTCCTTATTCTCGCATCAGAAATGGAAGACCAGGGAACTGTTTCCCTTGCCGGGGCTAGCAAGGAAAACCCCTGGGGGTGTGTATGGCGGAAATGTGGATGAACCTGTGGGTACATGCATACATGTGTGAGTGTGACTGAGAGTGTGCGTGTACATGTGTGTATGCATGTGGACACATGCACACAGATAGAGAGCCACCGGCACCCCAGCAGTTACTCGATGTGGCTCTTGCAGTCAAAATGTTGTAGCCAGTGTGGGGTGCTGGGCTGGGATTCCGGATGAGTGGATTCCAGATCAGCTATGAACCCACTGGGTGAATTTAGGCCAGTCGCTGCCTCTCAGCCTAACTTAGCTTGCAATGTTGTTGTGAGGATAAAATGGAGAGGAGACCTCAGCCACCTCGGGTTCCTTGCAGTGCAATGTGGTGGTGGGGAGGTGATGATAATAAATGCTCTGCCAAAGCCTTTTTGTAATTCTTGTAAGCCACCTGTCCCTGTGCTGATCTGCTGAGCCCCGGCAGTCCATATAGCCAGCCACAGGAAGTACAAGGCTAATATATGCAGCAATCATAGCAGAAATCCCGACAAACGCCATGCCCCTGCCCTGTGCAAATTGCATTTGCTGTTTCCAGCAGCTGCTTACTTATATGATAGCAAGGAGTGATGGAGCAAATCATGCCAAACAAACAAGGCCTTTTTCACATTATGTCCCCTCCTCCGAGTCCATCCACCTTCCCTTCTCCAGGCAGGCACACGCACATAGACAGACATGTCTGACATACAAACAAAAACCAAGCAGGCATTCTTCAGTCTGACATAACACAGCACTTTGAAAGCACAGAGGAACACATACAGGGGGAGCATTCAGGAAGAGAACCAGGTGCAGATATAGCAATCAAAATATATAATTCTACAGAGACTAAACATAAAAACATAAATGCTCTTCTGTCCCAGTATGCTTTATCAACTTGATTTAATGCTGAAGGTGGCTGCTGCGACCTTAAATCACCCCTGCCTTGATGCCGCTAAAACGTCACATGCACAGCATTCTTCTTGGTGCCGTGTTAGTAGCTCTCCAGATAGGCATCCTTTGGGGACACGTCTTTGTAAAAGCCAGTGACTAGGAGGCTACTAAGCAGCAAAACATCCTTAAGTTGGAGAAGACTTCCTTCCTTCCTTCCTTCCTTCCTTCCTTCCTTCCTTCCTTCCTTCCTAACAGACCAAACATCAGTGTCAGGAGAACAGTGCCCACAGGGATCCCATCACGTATAGAAAATCCAGGAAATATCTTTTTCATCAAAAGTTCCACACATACATAAACAAGGAAAACAAACATATCTTAAGCGACTTCATACCCAGGTCATTTTTCTCTGTTCTCCTCAAGAAAAGAATATAATTTGTGAAACAGCCCAAATGTTACCAGCACACCAAAAGACTCAATTGACTAAAGCTCTGCTTTGTCTTTTAACTTTGCCCGCTAACTTTTCTTGGTTTGCTTCACATCGTCATGCTTTTACTTCCAGATGGAAAGATGTTGTTCTCTTGTGCCATGATTCCGGCTGCCTTTCATTATGATAGCAGGGGTTATTCCATTAAGAAGATGGCAGCTGGCATATTTTCCTTCCCCAGCAGGAGACTGAGGCCTTTATATTTTTATAACCTGGTTCACCAGTGAGCAGCTTGGCCTCAGCTAAGCAGATACAAAATGGCCAACTTCCTCTCCGTTTTCCTTCCTCCCATCCCCTTGCCTTCTCTTTGCCATAGATACTTATTTGGAAGTAAGCCCTGTCGGATTCCATAGGACAATTCAAGAAAACTTGAATAGGAATGGACCATAAAGCAGAAAAATCAAAGTTCATTTAAATGTGTTTGGAGACTCCCGAGAGGCCCTTTTTAATGGTGGCTCTTCCTGCTTTCTTGGAAGACCACACTGGAAGAAATCACGTGCAGCCTTCCCAGAGCTCTTCCCGGCTCTTCTTACCACGCAGTTCACTGTGCGCCTTCTCTCAGGTGCCATAACACTCGCCATGCTGCTACAAACTCCTGTGGCTTTTGTCACAAGCTGCACCAGCCAAAATGGCTGTGCCAGAATTAACCTAGCAAAAGAATACTGCATTCTTGTCATGTTGAATCAGAGGCACTGAGGAAGTGGGTGGAAGCCCTGGACTCCCTTCCGTGTTGCTTGTCAAATCTTCAGGCAGGCTCTCACAGGGGTTAGTAACATAAGGAACGCATTAAACAGTGCTCTATGGGGCTCCCTGGCAGGGGACCTAAAACAGCCCTGCAGCAAGTTATTTCCTAGGCAAAAGGGAAAGCAGGAAGCTGGAAGAGTGGAGATTGGACTGTCTGTGCTTTAAAAGATTTAGTTAATTCCCTCTGGGCTTCTCTGCAGGAGACATAGAACCTGGCACTTTACTGAAGCTTCTTCTTTTGTTTTCCTCACAAGGAACGCTTCTCCCCTTGGGAAGGGGGTCCTCAATGCCTTCCAATATATTCCTGGGTATTGCATTATGCAACACAAGGTGGAGCAGAATTGCAAAAGTACACTAACCTTTATAACGAATAATAGCTCTAGCTAGGAAAATACTGGACGTTCTTTGCTTTAAAGAAAAGCTGTGAAAATGGCTGGAAAACACAGGAGAGGCTCTGGAGGACAACTTGAACTTCTTCATTTGAAAAGCTCAAGAATGAAGAATATTATGATTACGTTAGTAAACTTAGGGTTTTTCTAGGCAAAGTTATCCTAAGCACAGGACAGCATCACACAGTCTTCTTTCCTTGATGGATTTTTCCTGGTAGGAAAAAAGACAGCAAAAACAGTGGGGAAGCTGTTCCATTGTCTAAATTAGAAGACATTGTCATCTCCCAATAAATTTTTGGGAATGAGGCAGGATAGTACTGGGATAAAAACCTCATCTTGAAGCACTCTTTTGGTGAACATGGCATTGGTTAAAGGGATGACAAATCTGCTTCTACTGTACAAGCAAGGTGGAACATTGCTAGTGGAACACCTCCATCAGTCTGCCAGTGTGTAATACAGATTTTGTTTGTTTGTTTTCACACCAATAGCCTCAAGTCCTTCACCAGAAAGACAAGATGCCTCACGGCCCACAAGCAAGAATCCTTTGACCTGGACTGTTGATGATGTGGTTTGGTTCGTTAAGGATGCTGACCCTCATGCTTTAGGACCCCACGTGGAACTCTTCAGAAAACATGTATGTAGGAAGTTGTCCATGTTGGAGTGAGATTATCCAAATCTCATCTTCAGGTGGATGAATCAGGCTTGCACAAGCTATGATGCGCCAAGCCTGGAGAATATGGCAATCTACCAGATCATTGATAAACTCGCTGGTTTTATCTCTGCTTGGGACTGTGAAAACAGACAAAACATGAAGCCCCTGGCGGGCCACAATATATGACTGAGGGGCTGCATTTAGGTCATGGAGGCAGAAATTGCACAGGTTTGTAAGAAACCCATAGATCTCTGAGCTGGCACAACACTTGCAGCTAAAAATGATGTGGCTGCTCTTGCTATATGCTATTTCAACCCAATCATCCTTGTGTTAGTATTAGCTAAAGGGCAGAGGCCTCTTGTCTGGGCAATTTGTAGGCCTTTCCAATAGAGAAGGTCTCTCAGCTGAGTGGTGGGAGATTCAGCTCAGAGAAATGAAAGTACTTCTTCAGACAGCACACAGTTAATGAATTTGTGACCAAAAGATGTATTGAAGGCTTGGAAGGCTTCATAAGGGTATCAGACAAATTTGTGGAGGATGTGTTCAATGGCTGCTAGTCATAATGGCTAAATACAACCTCTGGTATGGGAGACAGTATGTCTCTATGTGCCGGTTGCTCAGGAATGTGGGCAGGAGGGATCCTGCTGTGCTCATCTCCTTGTGGGATTCCCAGGAGCTGCTGTGTGACCTCAAGGAGCAATGGATCTTGAGGCTATGAACAGGATATCCGGAATGGCAAGGGCCAGCATCTCTGCGCTTGGCACTTGCCCTTCTTGCCTGACAAAATTTGCTGAAGTGGGACTGAAGCCATAGCTAGAGGACTGGCCAGTGCCTGTTTGTGAAGGCTGTTCTGTCTTGCTTAAAAAAGAACATAAAAAGAGCACTCCAGGAAATCTCTCAGTAGGCCAGTCCCAAATGTACCACAGATGGCTAAGGAAATGGAAAAAGTTGCTGCATCTGTCTTTGATTATCTGTGGCAGTCTCGGTCCCACAACTCGCTATTTCAACCTGGCTTGGGGCTAGAATTTGGGACCAAGACTGCTTTGGTCACTTTGATGGATGGCCTATACTGGAAACTGGATGGGGAGAATGTGCAACCCTGTTCTGGACATTTGTGTGGCTTTCAGCACCACTGACTGTGGGATCCTTCTGAGACAGCTGGTGGGGCTGGCCCTGAGGGATGCTATTTTGCAGTGGTACCAGCCCTTTCTGGCAGCAGCACTGGGCTTCACTGCTCAACTCCATGGCCTTTCGTCTGTGGTATCAAACAGGATTTTATCTTGCCCCCATGTTGATGATCATTATAGCATGTAACTAGTTCAAGCGCTCATTTGGAGCTTTAAAATAAAGTGCCACCAATATGCTGAGGGCACCCAACTTTATTCTTTATCATCTAACACTAAGGAAGTAGATGGAACCCCTGAACCTTGTGTCAGTTCCATAATGGGCTGGCTGACAGTAAACAAGCTCAAGTTAAACTCAGATGAGATAGAAATGTTGTTGGTCACTGGAAAGCCTGAGTTGGAGGCAGAAATTCAACCTGTTCTGGAAGGGGTTCCAGTCTCCTGAAGGATCAGTTGGTAGGTGAGGAGCATTGAGCCCATGCTGTCCCTGGATCTTCAGGTGGAACAGGCTTGCGCAACCACGCTTGGTGCACCAGCTGCAACACTTCTTGAATAGAGCTGACTTGGCAATCGTTATCTGTGCCTCGGGTTTGTCACAGTTAAACTATTGCAGCATGAGCTCTATGACGCTACCCCTGGCAAATGCCCAGAAAGTTCAATGGGTGCAAAATAAGGCAGCTAGGCTGCTAACTAGTACACAGAGAAAATGGTGAAGGAGCCATTTTTCTCCCTCTCCCATAACACTTGGTCATCCCATGAAGGCGACTGGGGAAGGTTTAAGACAGACACGAGGAAGCACTGCTTCACATGACATATAGGTGAGCTATGGAATTGGCTGCCACGGGAAGTAATGATGGTGATGAATCTTGGTGGCTTAACAAGGGATTGGACAGATTCATGGAAGAAGAGGCTATCAGTGGCCACTAGCATTTCTGGCTAAATGCTACTTCCTTCACCAGAGCTGGCATGCTAAGGAGCTTAGTCAGGCAAAGGTCTTGCACTCATTCTGCTTGAGTGATCCTGTGGGGAGCTGGGTTGTTTCTATTTGTAAGAAGTGCGGGACTAGATGGTCTGATCCAGCATGGCTTTTCTTACGTACTTATGGCCATGTTACACCTGTCCTGAAAGGCCTGCTCCGGTTGCCAATTGCTTTCCAGTCTTAATTCAACATGCTGGTCTTAAGCATTAAAGCTTAGATAGCTTAGCACTGGGCTATCTAAAGGACCACTATGAACTTCCTTGAGTAGTAAACTCTTCGGAGAGCACCATTACTCACAGAGTTCTGCTTGTCAAGCATACAAGAAAAGGTTCTTTCCTGGGCTGCCCTCAATTGTAGGAAGCTCTTCTACAAAAACCAGCCCCTCCTCTTCTGGAATTTAGAAAGGGTGTAAGGATGCATCTTTTCAATCTTGCCTTTTAAAATGTGTAGTTTTTAATGTTTAATGTTTTTACCACCTCTATTGTTCTTCCTTTATTGTTGCAGGATATTATTGTTTTAAATTGTCACACACTGCCTTCATGGCTTTATAGCATTTAATGTGGAATATAAACAAGACTGATCAACAAACAAAGAAAGTCATTGTACATCCACTGATTGTGTTGGGCAAGTGGCATCCATTATCAATGTAGTTCTTCCTAAAGCACACCTGGAAATGAACTTAAAGATTCATTTTGGTAGCAGAGTTTTGATCATCAGAACTCCCTTCTCTGTATTCCATTGATCTGTTCTGTTCTGGTGAGAAGCGTTTTGACTCATTTTCAGTCAGCTGAGGAACTGCTGACTTTCCATTGGACTAATGGTGGGTCCTACAGGCAGGTGGGCAGCATCAGATGCTGTTTAGAATGCTGGTGTTAAGTAGCCAAGCTTTGGTCCAACCAAGCTCTTCTTTTCTTGCGATCTTATGCCATTGTGTGTATAGAATTTAGCTGCAGGATACTCTACAAAGAAGTGGGGCAGAACTGAACACTGTCCTCCAGCATTTGAACTTATAAAGTAACAGGCACTATTTCCAAGAGATTAGGAGGAATAGGGACAGATCTTACAACAAAGGCAAGTAAGTAGGACAGATCTCCCAAAGTATTGTTCAACTTGCACATAAATAATCTGAAATCAGGGATAAGCAGTAAGGAAAGCAAGCTTGCAAATGAAACCAATTATGCAAGACACTGAAGATCCAAGCAGATTGCAAAGATCTCCAAAAGAATATCTCCAAACTGGGTAAATGGGCATCAGAATGACAAATGAGATTCAATTAAGTGTAAAAGTGATGTATGTTGGGAAAAGTACCCAATGCACACTGAAACTGATTGAATCTGAAACTTGAAAGGGTCCTGGGATGCATTAAAGGAACAACACAGTGCATGTCAGCAATGCAAGGGAACCACAAATGCCACACTAAGGATAATTAGGGCAGGGATTAAAAATAAAATAGCAATTGTTCTAGTAAACTGTCATGTTCAGAATATTCAGAAAACAGAATACCATGTTCAGAAAAGTTCTGTTTTCCTGTTGCAAAAATAGGGAATGCTGAAAAGAGCAGTCAAAATGATGAGGACTAGAACCTGTTATCATTAAGTTTAATTGAAGCTGACAGGCAATTGATTTAGGATAGAAATAAGAAAGTGTTTTATTTCTCACAAGCATCATTCATGTATAGAATTCACTCCCACAGGATGTGGGATAACCACTGGGTTAGAGGGCTTTAAAAAGGAGGATTGCTCTCTTGGGGGAGATATCTATCAGTGGGTATTAGCTGCAGTAATCAGACAGAGGATCTAGGGCAGGGGTGGGCAATTAATTTTCCTATGGGGCCACATGAGAAACTTTGACAGTTGTTAAGGGCCGGACCAATACACTTACAGCTCTGCTCAATATATATCTCTATAAAAACAGTAAATGAAACATTACAATGAAACAATGAAAAAGTGGAGCACAGAACAGCACTATTTAATGAATATTCACAAAAACATTAACATTACATGAAAAGCAATAAATTCAATTCAGTTTAGCAGATCCTTCAAAATAAAAGCAGTGCAGTTGTATTGCTTGCATCTATATTACGACGATATATATTTGCATTGACTTTTACTTTGTCAGTGACCTTTTGCAGGCCAGTCAGGGTCAGCCATTGGGCCGAATTTGGCCCGTGGTCCATACAATGCCCAGGTCTGCTCTAGGGCAATATGCCATCAAAGACCCACTAAAGGAGAAAGTGACTCCCTCCGCAATCTTCTTGGGGGCTTCCCAGACACATTGCACTGGACACTTTGTGAAACAAGATGGCCTTCCCTAGCAAGGCTCTGTTATGATCTTCTGAAAGCAGCCTGACAGAACTCTAGTACTGGATGCAACACCACCCTTGATCACTGTGCTGTGGATTAAAAGATGTATTGGTTCTAAATTTTCCATACTGAAGCACCCACTAACCTGCTGCTTATAATTCAGTTAGCTTCACAGGAAAACAGACAAGAGGTCTGATGCTTGATTAAGGCCATCACACAATTCAGCTCAATTATGCCTTTGAATTACTCATTTCCCTGCGATTGTTCAGCCTTCATATCTAAACTGGATTAGCAGGAAGACTCCAGAGGTGAGAGACAAGTGATTACTCCATTAACCTTAGCTACGTCTTCCTGCGAATTAAATGATGCTACTGAGCGGGTGCATAATTTAGTTTGAAGCCCTGGGCACTGATTGACATTCCCAGCTAGCACCCCAAATCCTTGCTTTTTCAGCCAGCTAATTTGGCCCTGACATGCCAGGATTACAGAACAAGAGGTTATGGCCCCTCTGAATGTAACTCCCCAGTGTTTCTTACTAGAGACCAACAACCTGTTTACTGAATTTCCACTGGGGTAGCCGTGTTAGACTGCTGCAGCAAAAACAACACAGAGTCTTGCAGCACCTTAAAGCTGTACACATTTAATCTGATAAAGTGTACACCACCCACAAACATTTATGTTAGTCTTTCAGGTGCCACAAGACTCTTTGTTGTGCTTATCAAAAGAAGCTCTCTGTTATGTTAGTAGCAATGCTTCTAAATCAAGTCATGTCTCCTTACTCCAGGGATGGGATGCAAACAGAGACAGCCTCGGCCAGGGATGCTTTCATGGTGAGGTAACTGCCCCCGCCCCCATGTCTGAGGGAGGTACAGAAGAGAGTTTGGATCTAGAAAAGGAACCTACCTGAAATTTATAAAGGAAGGAATAAGGAATTTGGATTAAGGTCAGAGAGGAATTATGAACAGGAAAGCCAATCCAAGAGCAGAGGTGGTGCCAGGCGCCAAAAGAATCTGGGATTCAGGCCCACAAGATTAAAAAGCAAGCAAGGCACACATTTGCACATGCTCGTAAGTCTCTCTCTGCATGTGTCTCTAAAATACTCTGCCAACTAAGGACATCCACAGTTGTAAAGAGGGATATATGGGCAGGAGAGAGGAGGCATTGATTTCAGAAAGAATCTCAGGCAGACAGTTCAAAGAGGGAGGGCAGCCGAGGGGGCAGCAGGGGTGGGCAAAATGCCAGCGAGTCCAGTGGGATCAGATGCAGCAGCAGCGGCTCTGTGCCTTTATCTCAGCAAGCGCCCTTGGCAGCCAGGTGGCGAGCCTGATGCCCCCCTGGAGGTCTGGGGCTCCAGTGAGAGGGTCTGGGGCTCCGGCCCAAGCGAACCTCCTCCCTACACCACGCCTGCCCACGAGTGAGCAAAAGCAGTGCAGCTGGACTGCTCCTTTAATTCTGATCTGTAGTTGGGCAATGAATATTGAAGGAAGAGTGAAGCTTTGTAGCTGAGGCCAATTAAATGGCTCTTTCACAATTCTGTCCTGCCTCTTTCAAGGACAGATATTAGAAGAGAAAGCATAGAGTGCCGTACAGCTGAGCTATCTCTGTATTGATTATTGTAGCTTTCTTCCAATTAGTTGACCGCCATTTACCTTCTTTCTTGAGTTGTGTTTTTACCACTGGACAAGTCAACCTATTTAGTTCCTATAAAAATGGGAGCAGGAGAACAGGACAAAGAAATTGCCTTGGCAGAGCAATCCTTTCATTTCAGTTTCATTACCAGCATAGTATGTTGTACCTTAAGTAGTCACAGTGAAGACAGCTTTCTGATTTAGTGTCTGGTTGTGCGGGTCAGTGGGGCTTTTTCACAGTGCTTAACACTGAGCTTGAAATGTTTGGCTCTGTGGTCAGCGTTCACAGGATTAGATCTTAATAAAGCCACATGAAATATTTCCAGCTGCTGTATACTCTTGCAGTCTCCCAGCAAAGAGAAACTAGCATTGGCCATAAGTCCTGGTGGCAGTTATAAATGACTGCAGAAATTATTAATACAGATCAGATCTATAATGGAACCAACCCTTTCTCAGGGGAGTCTACGGTGAGTTCTTGATTGCTGTGCTTTTTCTGCTTTGTGAGACAGGGATGTGTGCAGTCCGGATGTTCTTGCACTGCAACTCCTATCATCCTTTACTACTGGCTAGACTGGCTAATTGTTGTCTAGCAACATCTGGAGGCTCATACATTCCCCAACCCTGTAGTTACCCTGCTTTTTGCATCTTGAAACACAGTACTGGGACCATTACACACAGCCATAGTTAGCCTTGTTACTCACTCTGATTTTCTGGTTGAGATAATATACGTGAATCTTAGAAAACGCATGTGTATGTCTATCAAGTGAGTGCTGTGCATGGCTATATTTTGCAGAACATACGCCATTTAAAATCCATGTAGTCCTGAGTAAAATGAAGAGACCCTTCAGTTTGTCCCATCATCCTCAGAAGTACACTTAGTTGGCAGTAGGGACAGGCAGGGCTGTGCCAATAGCTGCTCACAGCCCAGTGCGCCCTCCAAGGGGCAGCTTTACCTGCCTCCTCTTTCATGTCTTTTTTTCCAGGCAGCTAAAATTCCTTTCTGGGTTGTAGGGGAGGAATCATTTTGTATAATGATTGCTTGCCCTGAAATGGTATAACTTTCTAAGTGCTGCCTGGTTAAGATGTTTTTAACAGCTAGATGTACTTTTTATGTTTTTATTCTGCTGTTTTAGGGTTTATCTATTATTTTATAACTGTTGCCTTTGTATTAATTCATGAGTATTAGCTGCTTCAAGCTCAGTTGGAGAAAGGTTATATATATCATAAACAGATGGAGGAATGAATGCAATTAGTGATCAGGAAACTATGATAATATGTACTTGGAAGGTATTTCAGATGTTCCTTTTTCTATAGGTATATTAATACTGGGTGTACAATAGATCACCCATCAAGAGAGAGAGTATGCCCACGCTTACCTTGTGGCATTTGCCCTTTAAAAATATACATGGGTGGAGATCCTGCGCTCTTCTGACTGCAGCAAGTGTCAATTTTCACGGGGAAATTACTGAAATAAAAACGTGTGCATTGCTTGCTTGTGGCTTCATGGATATTTAGAATTTTGATATTATTGTTGTTTCTGTTTATACAGCTTCACTAAATTTGATCATTGTGTTTTAACTTACTGGTGCAGAGAACTCGTTATGTGATTGTTTTGATGCAAATGCAAATAATTCTACCACCTTCCATCAGCCTTAATCACTTGAGAAAATATTCTAGAATGTGGGGCCAACCATCTAACAATGCATTGACATAGAGAGCGGTTGTAGTTAACCTGTATCTACACTGAATTGCAGCCAGTTATGAGACTTATGCCGAAGTGACACAAATAATGCACACTAATACACAAAAATAATGAATAAGGAAGAGCTTAGAAATATATAATGGAGGAAGGAGAATTGCTTTGTCTTTGTGTCAGTCTACATTTCTACAAGGGTTTTGGAAGTCAACCTTGAACTTGTGCTAACCACAGAAGGGATAAAACTAATTTCTTATCATCTATAGGTTTTCATTTTGCAGCCAGGGTGAATCTGGATTTTATGTGCACTATTTGTACTGTGTTTATTTATTGTATGTAAGCTGTCTTGAGGCTCATGCGAATGGGACGGCATACAAAAATTCTAAATAAATTAATAAATCCCCTTTGAATTCATAGTATCTCAATAGGAGAGGCAGCAGCCAGTTCACAAATGTGTGGTTTCCATTTGCTAGATTTCTCCCACCTTCTTGGTAGAAAGGCTGGGTGAAAATCCAATCAATTAATAAATGATTTTATTTATTTTAAATGTTACCAACATTTCATTTACCTCGACACCATCTGAGTAACTTCAAGCCAGTCCATTTTCTTTGGTTATGAAATTGTATTTTATTTTAAAGATAAAAAGGCCACCCCCCTCCTCACATACACCCATATGGAAGATTATAACAAGATCATTAAAGAAACTAAAACATATATTGCTTTATCATGCTTGTGGAACATCTACAGTAAAACAGCCCATGTAGGACTGCACAATCTAATGAAAGAATGAAAATAGCATATATAAGGAATTCATATAAGTGCTGTGCTATTTTGTGTATATGAGTGTGTGTACATGTGTGTATACATTAGTAAGAAAATTATGTTGGTAACTGTACTTGATTAAAATATGATTAAAGTTTGAAAGGCTCCAGCATAGGAAATAAATGGAGAACATGGAGCCACAGCTTCTTTCTTAAAATTGGGATTTCTTGCTTGCTGCACTTGCCAAGCATAGTCATTGTCTCCCGCCACAGTTTACTTGCTTGGTTTGGAAACACCCAATTATGTGCTAAACATGACTTTGCTGCTGTATACAGTCGCTTAAGAAGGACTTTATGCAGGAATCTGGGATCATTAGGTTAAAGAGTATCACTTTAGGAATTACCAATCTAAGGTGCAAACATTCCTCACAGCAGCTGTGTTCCAAAGCACCTGCACTGCTGAATATCCCCACCAAAGATGAAAGTATTAACCAATCTGTCCCCACCCTTTCCAACAAGACTGACAACAGTTCAGTTGTATCAGGTGAAGCATTGCTGGATAATGTTCCATGTACTGAGAACTCTGTATTGTGTTACCTTTATATTAGTATTGATTGATAATGGTTCAGAAGAAGTCCAGATACACTGCCAGTCACCTTCTTCCAAAGGTTCACTTCAGTCAGACTCTCATCACTGAATATATGATAGCTTGACATCCAGAAATGCCAAAATAAACCAGTCTTGTGTTCATTGCAACAGCCATTTTCTTTCCATGCAAAATAACTCAATCTTATAGTCCCTGGCTTTTGATTCTTTCTTTCTTTTTAAAATAGGAAATCGATGGCAATGCTTTGTTGCTACTGAAAAGTGACATGATCATGAAATATTTGGGCCTGAAGTTGGGACCGGCACTGAAACTCTGTTATCACATCGATAAACTGAAGCAAGCTAAGTTCTGACATTTTCTAAAAACAACAACAACAAACAATCCCAAGATAACTCCAGAAAGTTGATGAAGGTAACATGTTGCCTTACACAAAGATGTCCGTTTTCAAGCTGTTTCCTCCTCTTTTTGTACTAAGAACTTGGTCTTTATACAAATGCACATCTTCACCTTTTTTTATCCAACAGAAGGGCAAGGGGGCAAGGAATCTGTTTTGCTGGTTTGTGTTAATAATTTTTCCAAGAAGTATATAATGATGATTATTTTGTATTATTCATATTGTTATTATCGTTAATATTATTATTGTTAGGTCCTATTTTTGTAATCACAAGTGGAAAATCAGACACAAAAAGAACTTTGCTACTTTTGGAGAAAGGTGTTTTTGAAAGGTGTTCTCAAACCTTTCTCTGAGCTGCTTCGCAAGTTCTTCACTTGATCGGCCCAGCATCAAGGTGACTTGCCTTTGTTAATGTGTAATAAAGGTCACAGGACTTTTATAAACCCCAAACACATAGCTTTTCAATGCTGTCTATTAGCACATTCAGCAGAAGTCATCAATTGCTGAATAATCTAGTAATGTGCACACATGTGTGAGTCAACTTGTAAACTAAGTTTGCCATGTAATCAGCGGCATTCCTGGTCCCAGGAGGTCCAGCTTCATTTATTTCAGTGACCTCAGTAGGTCACAGAGTATATCTTGGGAATATGAAGATTGGAGTACTGTTTACATAGGCATGAAATAGGTATGCATCAACAGGGGAGACCTACTGTGCATTTGGGCATGTTGGCATAGCAACTGGTCCTTGAGAGATACTCCACAATTGTGCTGATCTTCCTATCTTTCCCTGCTGGTCCAAGCTGATACTGTCATGTGCTCCCCAATATATATGAAGACTTTGAGCCACGTGATCTGTTTTGCAAGGTATACTGCATTCTTCTGAAAGCAGGAATGGGAAATCAGGAAACGATTTAGGATTCCCCAGCATCTGGACCCAGCTCTTTTGATCAATAAAAATGGTCCAGAAGAAAGGCCACTGCTAAACCTCTCATATCTGTGAGCTGCAAACTCAATATTGTTTGAATCCATTGTCTGATAAATGTGTTACATCACTGGAACTGGTTTCACAAATTTTGGTGGGGATTAGTGGTGACCCGCACTTTGTGGTCTCCCCAGTATTCCACTCCTACCAATTTCTCTGGCATCCGCTGATAGGCAGAAGGCCTCCTATTTCATACTGTGAGGAGACCAGGAAGCCACATTTGGTGGAATGCGCCTAAGCACCTGTCTGTTCCAAAGCTTGGTGTAGCAGGGGACCCCTCCCCAAGTTCTCTGCAATGTGTGCATAGCTCGGGAGAACGGAGGGTCCCACTTGCTGCTGAGCATCCTGGTTCAGGACAGACCAGATCACTCAGGGCAGCTTGGCACCCACATTTGTGGAGGTCTGCCTGCAACCCAGTTTTAACAGCATTCCTCTTTTAGCCACATTACTGGTGCAGAAAGTAGTCATCACGGGCCTTGAGGCTCTTTACTTAAGAAAGGCTATCCTGCACCCACCATCTGATCCTGTCACATCGACAGTGAGATGGTGAGATACAGCCAATGTTTTCCCCATTTACCTATTATCTTGTGTGGAAACCTGTCTGATGTCTTGCAGTATTTGGAAAACTTGAATTCTTTCAGGGGAATAAGAAGTGGGTGTTCTTCCAAACTGAAGTACCTTGCTTTTTCCACTAGAGGGACTGGCAAAGCTAATAAACTCCAGTCTTGCATTCGGATGGCAGCATCGCTTTCTAAAGGGCAACTTCTCCTTGAGTTCTCTCTCACCCTCAGTCAAATACCAAATGGCTCTCCCACTCTCATCAAGTCTTCCCGATGCAAAGAGAGGGCTTTCTGCCCTCCAGCCCTGGAGAATGTTCTTGGGTTGATGCCTCAAGGGCTAATAAGCCTTGTTGCCAGGACTCGGAGGTAGAGAGGACGCAAAGTAAACAAGCATCTTGACCAGACACATTCTTTCTCAATGCAATCCTGTTGGACAGATGTTCTGTGAAGCATTTTGAGAAAGAAAAGGTAGGAGGAGCAAGGAAGGAAGGAGGGAAGATCTTCTTTGTAGACTCACAGTGACAATGAATCAAGAAGAACTATAGGTTTTGACTAGGTTTATCTTGCAACTGAAGCTGCACTTGAAGAAAACCTTGTTAACTGCCAATCAACATGCTGTCCTATAAAACTGAAATGCATAGCGCTCAGTCCCCGAAATGCACAATCCCCAATTGCTTAACCAATTCACATGACAAAAATATGTAATAAAGCCATGGTTGGAGGAGGGCAGGAGGTAGAACTGTAAGAGGTATATTGGGGGATGTATATTACCCTGTTCTTGTTTTGAAAATGTATATCTAAGCAATGACCTTTCATAAGAAACTGGTGTTTTGTCATAGAATGTATTCCTGAACCTTTACATCGTGCTGTTCCATTCTTTTTGTGTCGATAAATGTGAAACCAAATGTCTTGCAGAATATACAGACAATTGGTGTAGAGTAGTAGAACCAACCTGACATGTGTATTCATTCGAGGTCTTATTCTGCTGTCCATTGTTAACATCTTTATGCTGCAGTCCATAGTTCTTGTGGATCTACCTAAACTCCTGCTGCTGCTGGACAGATGCTGTGCAGGAGAGGGACCTAGGCTGCTTGGAGTGTGTGACAGGCACAACCTCAGGGTGGGGTAGCAGCCACAGTTAATGTTGCTCAGAGAAGCTTGGCTTGGGACTTTGTTGGCATGACGACTGGATATGTCCCACACCAGCCTGCTGCCTGGAGAGGAGCAACTGTCGTGCAGCAAGCTCTTCCCATGTGCTTCCCCTCCTCCCTTGGATTGGAGCCATACGTGATTATGCTGAAGGCTGGGGTTCCTAAGTTGTTTTGGGGAGCACATTTTATCTAGGTTACATTTGCAAATGTCTGCTTAACTGGAATGTATGGATGAAGTTATTGGCATAGCAAATGCTTGAAAAATTACTAAAGCAGTAAAATGTTAGGTCAATTAATGGCACATGGCATCTAATGTGGCACATGGGGTAATTCCTTTAACCTGGAAATAGGTTAATTATATTCACACGGACAGATCGTACAGTTCTGCACAGTTGTTGCTTTTAAAGAGCCAGATTATTTGTGGTAAAACAAAAGTGTTCTGTATCTTCTGTGTCTTCTTGAATCTGAGTGTATATAGTTAATATAGCTGTAATGATGTGCTCTGAAAATCCTGTGACAATCTTGTCTTCTACACGCTCTCCAAAGCAGGCAATTTTTCTGAAGGAAGCTTTCTGTCTCTCCTTAAGAATAGCAGATTGTTTGTGATCTCAGATCCTGATCCCTTTCTGCCTTCTCTGAAACGCTATGCATCTCCAAACATTGTGAGATGTCATCCTATCTGATTAACTGTAGCTGAAAGGCAAGATTACAATGATTTCTTGTTGCCCTGCATTACAAAGCAGTTTTGTCTCCTCTGGACCTGGACCTGCAACTTCCCCATTTGCAGCAGATGGCTGAGGAGCTACAGCAGCCCTGCAAAGCCTCTTCTCACTCTACCTGTTCCCACAGTCCTCACTGCTCCCAGTGACTGCCAACTCAACGGTCCCAGCTGCTGCCTTAAGACACTGAGGGTGCCTTCATATCCATACTTATTTGAGAGGGCAATGCACCGTGCTTAGTAGATATATTCCTGATAAACTCAAATGTAAAAATGCATCATGATTGCAGAGAACTGCCCTGTGCACAGGCCAAGGGTAAGAAATGACTACCTCTTTAAACAAACCCGATGAGCCTGTTTAGATGCAGTGGCAGTCTTTTAAGAAAAATGCAAACCACACAATATTTTGAAGAAAATGGTGCACATACCTGGGAGCTATCAGGTACTCTCCACATTACTTGTATATAGAGTCCACCCATTGAAATAGGTGAAGTTTGAGTTAGTCACATTCATTTCAGTGGGTCTGCTCTTTGTAGGAATAATACAGGGCACTATTTGCCAGCCACAAGAAACAGAAGATGCAAAAGAACGAGGCTGAAGCAGTTGGTTCACTATGGCCAGCCACTGGCTAATGCTGTGTGTCTAAGGAGGGACAGTCTGCATCTCCTTTCCCACATGCCAGCACTTCCTTTGCTTTGGAGTTGTATTTACATACTATAGTCATTGTCATCATCAGTAAAGAAAGAGGGGAAGTGCAGGTGCCAGTTTGCGGATTGGTTCATTGGTGTTTTCCACTGAAATGACTAGAACTTGATCAGTGTGTGCCAACCTGGTGGCTTTCAGCAGTGGTGCAGTGGAACCAGGGTTCACAGGGACGACTACATCACCTGCCTCCCTATCCTTCCCGGTTCCTTCTTAGCTTAGCTGCAGTCCCCACAGAAGTGGGTGGAAAATGGCAATGGATGCTGTTCCCAGCAACAAGACATTGTTTCCTGTTGCAATAGGAAGGACTTTGGGCTAGCCTGGTCTTGAATGAGCAATTAAGAGTCATTCGTTTTACAAAAGATGAAAACTGCTACAACCACTTGGTTGATATGAATCAGCCGCTTGGTGTTTGGTATTCCTTGGAGACATAGCTATGCCAGGAGTTCAAAATTTACCACTACACTACTGACCTGCAGATGTTTTGGAATACAACTCCCAGCATTCCTGAGCATTGGCCATGCTGACTGGGGCAGATGGAAACCAGAGTCCAAAACTTTTGGAGGGAACCAGGTTCAAGAAGGCTGGTAAACTGCCCATTCATCTGCCTCTTTTAGTGCTAAGTAGAGAACCATTCATAAGGCCAAAAGCTTTTGTTGTACTTGCATGTTTCTTCTGACATCCAAATGCCTCGCACCCCATGTTTGATTTGATCAGTGTTCTGCAATAAAACAATGCTCCGTTCAAATGAACTGAAAATGGGGGAAATAAATCCTTTTCATTTATATGCACAAAAGTTGAAGTGTAGTTAGAGGTCACTAGTTACTGCTGAGTATATGGCCTCT